TGTTTAGATATAGCGAACGCATAAGGTAGAAAAACGACGTCACTGTGGTTGTAATTATTTAGCTGTAATAATTAATAGTGCATTTATGAATTATTAACATTTTAGTAAAAAATAATTTGGTTTTTTGGTTTTCCTGTAAAATTTCAATTATTGCAGTTGTGTCATTGTTCTACCAGGGCGGCGATATTATAATCTTAATTAACTTATAAATAAAAATATAAAAAATTCTTTAATATTAAACTAAAGTATTACAACGTATTAAAAAATTATAATGGTTTCATGTCCAAGAATGTAGAGGGAAAGTAATGTGATTTACAATTCTTCTTTATTGGTTTTGTATAAAAAAACAATTCTTAAATGTAATATTATAAAATAATACAATTTCTATATCCGAGTGTAGCTTCCAGTTAGAATTCAGTATTTCATTTTTCACCCGCGTATTTAATATCATAGTTACATGATGTAACTATGATATGTTACATGATGTAAAAAAATAAATTTTGTTTTAGATTCACAATCATTTAAAAATAGTTGAATCTAGCATAATATGATTACTCAGTAGGTATAATAAATTTGATTATTAAATATAGCCGATGTGACTTTTGACAAAATATTATGTATCATCTATGTAATATAAAACGTATGACTTATGAGCGCTATCCAAATGGGCTTGGAAAAATTGTGTTAAGAAATTGATTGATACTATCATATGTTTTATTATTTTTAACGCAGTAGTGGTTCACACCAAGTAATTAGATTATGTCTGGCACCTATTTTAAATATATTTATATTTGGTACCGACTTAAGTGATTTCTACAATCGCGCACAAGGTATTTTATTTTAGCACCAATAACAATTTTATCTGAAAGCTAGGAGGGTAAAAATACGGTTATTAAATTTATAAACTTAAATTAAGTACAAAACTGTGTAGGTTGTCATAAAATGAAAAAAATATTTAAAATTAATTTTTACAAAACACACACGTTTAAGTATTTTATAAAGGAGACATGATGGGCTGAAGCAGTTTATTAGAAAAACTAAAATCATACACGTGTATAATGCGAGTACAAATAGTCAAGTAAAATAAGTATGAAAATAAAGTACAAGAAAAGAAAATACAGAAAGTAATTTTAACGGGTATCGAAGGATTATTAGGTTTTTATTTTTCACTTTAAAAAACAAGAATGGAAATTTACATGTTTTCTTTGTCTGATATCGCGCAGTAAATCACTTTGGCGTACTACTTATAAACGGTTTTAAGTACATCAATGTGACAATTTAACTTTTGTGCACATACAAATAATACGGCGTGTCGTGTATGCAATTGTGGTACACCCGAGTGTGCCATTGCAAGCAACAAATGACCGAAGTTCGGGTGTGGCAACACGACACCTGAATTGTTTTTTAATGAAGTGTAATAGACATTGGGAAATGTTCGATGCTTTCAATTTTTCGACCTCAAGAGCCGACATTGTAATAATAGATTATGGTGTCACGCGAAAACACAGTTTGCCTCAGAATGACTTTAATCTTTATATGAGCGACTCACTCGTCCTGTTGATGGGTGTAGGTAGAATAATACTATGCAGGGTGATTTTTTTACCATGGGCCACTCAATATCTCACTTGGTTTGATTAATAATTAAATTTTTTTTTTATAATATTTTTATATGATGTGATCTCAATTTTCCACAAACTATATGTTTCTACCCCTTCCCAAAATTGTTTTTTTGATAGCAACTTTTGAAAGTTAAATGGTAACGTATGTATATTTTAAATGTTTTAAATTAAAAATATTTCACTAAAAATGTTGACTGGTTGATAACCAGTTTTGGACAATTATTTTTAGAGTTGTAAGATTTTAAAAGTTAGGACGAGAGGGGAAGTACGCGCAGATAAAAACAATACTACACTGCACTCCTCCTGCCTTAAACTTGAAACTTCAATAACTTACAAAATAGTGCATCAAGTAACCGTGGTACTTATAGAGAATATTAAAGATAATTGATAAGAAAGTGGATTTGTTTTTATCCCATTTGAGTTACTGAGATATCGAATTATCCTGATAATTTACTTTTGATGATTTTACTTTTTTTTTCGAAACGTGAACAGGTCCCCGCGTAATGGCAATTATACGCATAAATATATTCATAATAAAAAAATAACAGTTGTAAGAAGTGTCACCAGACAGGCCGTTGCTAACAACAAACATAGAATAACATCATTATAAAAATACAAAACTAATATTTTCTCAGCTACGCGTAATAGCTAAAACGCCTATCAATTTTCCAGTTTTTATTTTTTATTTTGAGTAATAGCCAATGACAGATTATTTTACGATAAAAATTAAGCAAAAATACAATATATAATAGTCAAAAAAGTAATACTACCAAATGAATCTAATATGTATTTATAAATATTATTTTTAGCTTTATCAAGTAACTATAATTGTAAATGTAATGTATTTTTTCTTAGTGTGGATTGTATGTATTAATTATCATTGTACTTTTAATTTACATTAACTTTTAGGCTTGTCTAGTTAAGAAATAATAAATAAAAACAAAAAGGTTTTTGAAGCTGAACCTTTATCAAACCTTTGTTATGAAATACAGTAGGTAATGTTCATTGTAATAGACCGCTGCGGTGATGTTAAAATGGAAATTCGTAACGGTCTGTTTATGTTAGCCTAATTTATAGGCACCTCAACATGTAATATACAAATATAATTACCATGAAAACTAAAAAGTACACCGGTCACATCCATATGAGATATTATCTAACAACATAGTATAATATATGACTATCACTAGATTACATTAAACAATACGATCGCCGAAACAACTCACAGTTAAGGTCACGATCGAGTAATTTAATTTAATACAGATTAATGGAAATGGAAAATAGCGCAAATTCCCATCGCTAAATAAACGTTTTTTTTAACACGAGAACCCTTACAAATAAGTATTTGTATGTGCTGTACACTAAGATTTTTTTCCATAAATATCTGGTTAAACAAATATCAGTAACATGTAAGCAATGAATAGCTTTGAAGAAACAAAAAACCCGCGATTTAAGTTTGCATAATATGTCATATACACAGAAAGTCAGACAAGGTACTTGTTACCGAATGTTATTTTTTTTATAGAATAAACCAACATTGGATATGTTTTTTGTCAATTTTCAATTTTAAGCATGCATCTGCATGACTGATTTCACTTAAACAGAATTTAGCATGGTTAATCCTAGCAACATGAATTATATATATACTCACATAAATTAATTTTGTTAGCTTATAAAATATACAGAATTTTGTAAATTTTAATTTGTAGACATATTACGTTTATAAACTTAAATCACAAATAAATTATGTGTTTTTTTGTGTAACACTACTTAATATGCTAACTAAGATATTGGCAAATTTTCATTGAAAGTTTCTATCGCAATTTTTTAGTTCGGTAATCAAACAAAGTTGGTAAGTGTAGACAAAGTGGATACTAGAGAGGAAAATGACCACATAACATCAAAAGATTAACTGTTTAGTAGAGCCAAACGGCGATCTTTAACCGATAATGTGACGGTAACATTTATTTGACCCTACGTACTCCAAACTGTTGCTGCGTTACCGGCAACCACTATAGGTATACACGAGAATCCTCGGATAAGTTCACGTTTCCACAGCCCCGTGACCGTTAAGCCGATCGATTTCGTGTAAAAATGCTTTCATTTTTTCTCCATCCCTAAACGTAAAGGGAGTAGTATAAAATTTGCTTTTAGCTCATCTGAAGATAGCAATAGCGTGTAACACAAAAAGTATCAATCAAGCAATGTAGCGTCCAATTCAATTATTTGAGTTTTATGGACAAATAAACATTCACCGCCTAGTCGCTGATTGGTGCCACTGGTTTATCTCTCTCTCTCTCTCTCTCTCTCTCATATATATATATATATATATATATATATCCGTCCTAGAAATGAAAGGAAATATTTTGGAAAAACATACACTACAAAATGATTTTTACAAAGAAGAAAAATGATTACAGTAGCCAAGTTGTAAGAATTGTCTTTCGTTGGTTTATGTTAAAGTCAAATTACATCAATTGAATATTAAACGTCAATCGTATAAAAGGAAAATATAAATAAAATTACAATCATAAAACAGTTGTCCTTATATTGTGTGTATTATATACTTTTTTTATGGAAAACATAAGTATTGCATTATTGATTTAGAAGTGTTCTCCATACCCATCCCTATGATAATAGTCAATAAAATTCAATAGAATTAATAAATAATTACAATCTCGATTTACGAGTAATAGTATCACTGAAAACTTCTGGCTAAGGTAAAGATAGTCTGTGTATTTGTAAGTAGAATTTGTTATGATAACCTGATAAACAAATTAATTATTATCAATGAAGAATCCTCATTACTGTATTAATGAATATACGCCTTAGTTGTAGTTTAAAAATACGATTTTGCTAAAAACTGCCTATGCTTAGCCCCTTTCTACATAAGAGTGTAGCGACTTTTGATTAAACAAATATATATATATATATATATCAAAGAGTGTAAAATAATATCAAACAAATATTAATAAATATTTTCTTTGAAAAATATCAGTACAGTGGGGGCATAGGGTCGGAGAAGCCGCTGGACTTCAAAAATTGTTATAATTCAGTAATAAAGTCACTCTCGGGAAAGCATCGATGCGAAATTATGTAAATATATTATGGTAAAGAGTACAAAATTAATTATCAATACATGACACTATGTGTTTATAATAATTGTGTAGGGCTTTTCGGTGGCTTTTCTAGATAATAGAAAAAAAGTTACAACAAATACGTTTTTAATCTAAACCGTAAGAAATTCTCATTTAACTATACTTGCAGACCATTTCAGATATTTTAGCACTAAACTGTTTCAGCACAATCATAAACACGCTTCAATAAGTATTTTTTAAAATTTTTTTTTTTTAACTGTATAACGTTTTGGTTTATCTCTAGAACGGTGACGCAACAGTAATGGATGCGGACGACGACGAGGAAAACGGAGTCTGTGAAAAATAGTGAGAAACCGGCAGATATGAAACCAAAAAAATAAGAAAACCCTGTAAATATCTCGTACCGGTTACAATTTAAACGCCATGACGATCATCCGAAATCAGAGATCTCTGCCATTGATGTGTTCGAGGGTCTTGGCGCTTTGGACTATGACTGTGCTGTGCACGAATGGCTTCCAATATGACGGCGGAGGAGTAAGTGTGCCCAGGAAGATCCGCCACGACCACAAGGGGCAACAAAACAATGAGGGCACACAGTCGGTGATAGATTTTGAGTTCGAGACCACCAGAGGAATTGACTACGGTGACGGTTACGGCTTAGAGGAAGACCCATCCGAGGAGGCGACTGTAGAATTGCTTCACGACATGTACGACACGCGGAAAGGAATCGTGGCCAACATTATTTACCAAGGTAAGCTTTCTGCCGAATGAGGTTTTGCATAATGTACTTACATTCCTACTGCTCGTATCCTCGGTATACGGTCTGGAATCCGCAAAAGTCTCTTTTCACCTCTACGTAGTCGATTGACTTTAAAAACATTCTTTTACTAAATTATGTTAATCGGACGAATCCGAATTTCGGTGAAAATCGCTTAGTATGTTCTTTCATATACTCATATCGTATGCGTTGACACAAGAAATCCCTCTAGGCAGTCATCGTATCCACGTACATTCCATTGGGATTCCTTTTGTGCCCGTCTCCGAGCTGTATAGTGCGCTTATTTTTGTCCAAAGCCAAACCGAAGTGACAACACAAAAATAAATATTATTACTTACGTCTCGGTTTATTTAAGTACGGTTCGCAGTCGGATTGAGAACATATTTTGACAATCTGCTTCCATAATTTACTTGTAATAAGTACAATTTATAATGTTATTATCTTAACTCTTTATGACAATTCTGTAAAAAACCTGGAAATTCTCACCAGACGGCTTTAAGTATATTTTTATAATGTATTATATTACTATATATTTTTTTAATTTTATTGTTTTTTTATTACAAAGGGTTAATTCGTGATGATAATAGCACAGAAAAGCAACTATACAATTTTTATATGGGTCTCATAGGACGAGATAAAATCATGTCCGATATCTTAAAACTGATCGAGAAATGGACAGTGCTTGTAGACGTAGGAAAATTCTCATTTTTTCGTTCATTCCGGCTAAACTGTTCACTCGACAAAGCCGAAAATGGTGACGGCATTATTGTCGGTGTACGATATTTAATAAATTAACACAGCGAAGAAAAAACAGGAATATCCGAGTTCTGGTATGACTTGCTAAATCTCAATATATCTGATCGTTTTTTGATAATCTCTAAAATTCCTTTTTGTTTATTCTACGATAATAGTAACATTAAATGATAACACAAGTAGTGTATTAAAATTATTCACCAATAATCGTATGTAGTTTTGTTTTTTTAAGTGGTTGCACTGAAAATGTACAAACTTCGAATACGTGTGAAAAATAAGTATTACCCTTCAAGTATTAGTTAACAAATTCTAAGGAATTCTATGGCATTTTGTAGCAACACATCAATGTAATAATATTTAGTGCTGAGGTCGAAATACATTTCTACAATAATGTTACAAATGCTTTAATATAATATACTATTATATATGTATCAGCTAGGTACTTTTATTAAACAATGGATTTTGTATGCAAGTATTTGATCAACGCTCGCATACAACTACTGTGTTATTCAGTCTAACTAACCGTAAATATTTACCGGTTCGTGAAGTTTCGTTCCAAAGCAAAGTAATTAGTTAGGTTGCCATTAGTATTTGTTTATTCATGATTTGGAACCACTCCGATTTCTCTCGAGAATAAAAGCACTTTCCTTATAATTGCTACATTCATTCAGTTTGTCTATAAATGAATGATATACAATCTAAACAAGTGAGTGTAGTATAACTAAATTGATAATTTATATGTTGTTCGGATTTCAATAAACGTATAACGATAAAACCTATTAAAACATGTATATGATTTTAAGACATTCTGTAATTATTAAATAATCACCAAGCTTTGATTATTTAACTTTTATTAATTTTAAATTTAATAGATAATAATTTACTTAAAATAACATTAAACATTGAAATCAAAACGCTAGTAGATAAACTACACGGTCCACCGTTAAAAAAAGTTTGGGAAATAATTTTACTTTGCCTGAACTATCCCCGAACAAAGATATATTTATCTGAAAAGCTTAACATGAATAACATATGAGTGTATTTTGGTAAACGTACGTGCCGTAAGTTAGTATTAGATTTTGTGGGTGGTAAAACATTATGTGTGTTAAAGAAGCTTAGTGAATATAATTTATACATGATAAAATGCGGTTATGTAGGTTTTCGGTATTATTTATGAACTAAGAAACACTGTATCAAATTATTACAGTACTAAACATCTTCAGCTGTTATAAGATTAAAAGAAAAAGCATTTCATATCTTAACATTGTTAGAAGTAAATGAAATCATAAAGAAAATTTCTCCTTCTCTCTCGCATTTAAGAAAAAAGAAACATAAAACACCAAAATACATTTAATTTGCCGCCAATTATATATATTTTTTAATATTGACATATATTAAATTTATAAAACAAAATAATATAAATGGGACATTTTTTTCATTAACCATCAAATAAATAAAAATATACGAACCTCCAACTTTCCATATTATTTTTTAGAACATTATTACAATAATACAATAAAACGGTGAATTTTCGAAACCTTGCGATAAAAAACCACATTTCAAACTATTAAATTTAATATAATATGTTTTGCGCTTCTGAAAAGAGATCAAAATGAGACTTGTACTATTTCGTCTTACTATATTTAATACTTACTTTTCTTTAGAATACATTTTTATTTTTATTTAATTTTTGCTTAATAATTTTAATTCTTACTTCAGACATTGCATGATTACTTCATTATATATTATGTAGTATAATACTTTTGCAATTATAATATGAAGTAGTAAATATTTAATAAAATTATATTTAAATAAATGAATTTTCGTTACTTCTAAGTTCTGGCAAAGCAACAGAGTAGGTAAGTATTTTTTGCGTTTCCAAACTGTTTAATTTTTGTTTTGCCTATTCCAAAGACATTTCAAAGTTCAACCATCACGAGTATTGGGTAAGTGGTTTGTTGATAATGGCCATAAAATACTATAATTCCTAAGAGACCTTCGCCACTGTGAGTGGTACGCGCAGTTTTTAAATTTCAAAACTTTTTACATGTTTGCAGTACGACCTTTCGTGACGGTCGCATAATGGTAAAAACAATGCAGGCGAAAATGGCATGTGTTTGCGGTATATTTGCATAGAGCATAACAACTTATTTAATTTTTTAATACAATCTGTAAGGCAGCCATTGTTACTTATTATACTGAAATTCGTGCCACGGTAAGTAGCGATCGCGTGAAGTAAAATGCAAAAACGTACTTGGTATTGGAGTGTTGGTCTTTTAAGGTCAAAGTCGATTCGATATACCCTCGTGACCATAGTGTTTCAATAGAATAAAAAAATTAAAAAGCAGGCTACAAGTAAAAAAAAAATTAATTTGTTTGCATAAATTATGTCATGAATAACAATGTCTTAATAATAATTATTGTATGTTAACTTTAAAATGTTTTTAATGGATTTTATTTTACAAGTTAAAAAAATCCAGCTAAGCTATTAGTATGTCATATTATAAATAATTTTAATATTAGCTATACCAAATAATGTAAATCTTGGTTTGGAAAATTTTACTATCCTCGGCTTAAACATATTTTCATTGCCATAACATTTAATGTTTATTGACTAATCATTGAATACATTTATATATGTAAAATATTCAATTTGTATTAAACAAATTTAAACTAGTCTAATTGTCTGCGGGTACATTGGTTGAAGTTTGTATAAGTTTCTATCTATATACACACAAATACGAACAGTAAATCCCAAATTTTAGGAGTGCCCGACGTCATCTTTCTCGTGACGTCACAATTCCCAGTAATTGAAATCTTTACCTAACTTTGGATCTAATTTTATTAGTACCATTGAGTATACTCAATGTTGGTACTAATAAAATTAGTACCAATAGTACTATCGATACTAGTTTTTGAGCTGTAATGCTAAATTGTATCCAACGTTTTTTTATCATAGATTTTTGCACGTATAGCAATTTCATAGTCATATTCGTGTAATTTTTTCTTGGTATTATAATGTGCCATCACTAATGACGCTCGCGTCGGCTGCTATATAAGAAAAACTCGACACTATTAACATTTTAAAATAATACGAGTGATTCTAATGAAAAATGTACCCTTTCCACCCCGCTTTACCCCGGCACACGCTCACACTCGCATACTTTTAGTACGAAAAACAAAGAAAAAGCGCTTAACGAACTAGGTCAAGTGAAATTAATGTTATCCACAATAAAGTGTAATACTGATTTAGCCTGTAGATTTAACCACCTGCACGCGAACTTTGTTTTGTATAAACAATAAATACAAAATATGGCGCTATGTAATAATAATACTGTGAATATACATACTCGGTGCTATATAAGTGTTTGTGCAGCCCCACTGCGAACTTGTGTACATACGTGCGCTATAAATAATTACTATTATTAGTGAAATAACAATATTATATAATATCAAATTCAAACAAACGCGTGAAAATTCAAGTACACCTATTGTACTATTGTTATTTGTTTGCACAAACCGAAAAAGGACAAATCCCAAGCGCACACGCCATTTGGTCCCGACGATTTAAAGTATATAATATATATTAAACTTCAATTATTACCGTTTAAATCGGATTTAAGACACGCATAGTACTACTATCAAAATATTATAACGATAGAGTGTCGTGTACTTTTACTTTATTTTATTTAAAACGACAAGATTCCCTCGACATCTCCCGCGATTATAAAATGTTCATTATTTCATATTACGCTCAAGTAGGTTTAATGTACGTACTTGCGCGACAACAGTGTTTTTTTTGTTGTACTCGCTACCTACCCGTTCGATACATGAAACAAATTATAATTATACATCATATTATGCACTCGAGAATAAACTAGGTCACTGTAAAATCGTCCACGTTGTATATGAATAATAAAAACGCGCTGTTATATTTTTAATATTATTTTCTTTTTATTTATGTATCGATTCACCTGTGTCGCTTTTCAGGTGACATGCTTAGTGTTGGACGTTGTTAACGTCACATTGTTACAAGATGCATTACAGCCATTATGCTTTCATTAATTTTACATAATTTATAAATATATATATAATGTTACACCCTTAATAAAATTTGCTAGCTTTAGTACGTAAAATAAAATACCCTTTTTATACTGAGGGTCAGAGGAAAGTTAACCATTTTAATTTAGTTTTGTTGTTCAAAGTTACTTAATAAATGT